CCCAGACCGGGGCACGAACCCGTGTCCCCTGCATCGGCAGGCGGACTCTCAACCACTGCGCCACCAGGGAAGCCCGCCTGCCTTGCTTTTGGTCTCAAGATGCCTTCTCAGTTCACTGGGCACTTTTCGTTCCCTCCATCCTTGGACAATTGGCAAGCCAGGCAGGAGACTGAAAATAATGCAGGAATGGGTGAAGGGGCCAAACAGGGAAAACTTGTTGTCTGTGGGGGAAATCCCAGGCTGACCAGCCATTTCCATGTGGGGTGATCTGGCTATATTTATAGAACACTTCAGGCTGGTGCAAGAGTAGAAGGATACCCTGAAAACCCCAAAGGGCATACTAGATGTATTAACCGAAGAGGTAGCAAAGCGAAAGTGGGGTGAAAAAAAGTGAGCAAGCTATTGCAGCTGTTGCATGGCCTTTGTTATGTACTCTAAATATTAGCACAGAAAAGGAATTACAGTTCACCTGGGAACTAGAGAAGACTAAAGAGGAGCTGGCACTAGAGAGGACTGTCTGGATGGCATGTTCTGCAGCTTAGGATGTTATGCCAAAGAAAATACAACAAGAGGAAGAACATATTGAAGTGATGGAATGTAAGATGGTTAATCTTGACTTAGGAATGCACGTTCTGTTTCCAAGTATCTACCCCCATACTCTAGGTTACCTATAAGACCATCCCAATGGCCCCTTGGCAGTGTGGAACGCATCTGCAAATGCCTCCAAATCATCTGCCCACTCCCAATCCCACTCTGTAAGTTACCCTATAATAAGCTGATCCATTGATTATATGGAGCTGCATGCCTCGCTTTTTGGTCTCAAGATGCTTCTCAGTTTTTTGGGCAGTTTTTGTTCCCTCTGTCCTCCGACACTCACCAACAAGTCTTAAGATCACAAAAAGTAAGACAATCAGATATTCTGTGCCTGCTTATGTGATGCTGTAGGAAATATCTATGTTAGTCTCACCACAAATGAAACCTTTATCAAGCCTCCAGATTCACAAGTATGGGAGACAGAGACTCCCTGATGCTAAAATCCTTTGAGAAGCAAAGAGCCAAATCCAGAAATTGGGGAATTCTATAGGACAAACAACCTAATTTCTTTCCACAAGTAAATAGCATGAACACAGAGAGATACTATCATAAATTAAAAGAGATTTAGAGACATATTATCCAAATATAATATGTGGACCTTGTTTGGATCTTGGTTGGAAGAAACCAATTAAAAATAATATTTTTAGATAAATGATTATAGACATTTATTAATGATATTAAAGAATTATTGTAAAATTTTAGGTGTATTAAATAGACCTTATTTTACAAGAAGATTAAACAACACACTTCTAAATAACACATTATCAGGGAAGAAATCTCAAGAGAAATTTAAAAATATTGGAAAACGTATACAAAAATGAAAACACGTGAAAACACAACTTATAAAAATATATGGGATGCAGCAAAAGCAGTGTTTAGAGGGAAATTGATACACTGAATAAAAATATTAGAAAAGAAGAAAGATCAAAAAATCAATAATCTCAGTGTATATCTTAGAAAACTAGAAAAAGAAGAGCAAATTAAGTTCAAAGTAAGAAGAAAAATAAATGAGAATTAAAGCAGAAATCAATGAAATTGAAAACAGGAAATCAATAGAGAAAATCATCAAAATTAAAAGGTGGCCTGGAGAGATTGATCAAGATGGTGGAGTATGAGGACGTGAAGCTCACCTCCCCCTGTGAACACATCAAAAATACATCTACGTATGGAAAAAATTCTCACTGAGGGCTTCCCTGGTGGCGCAGTGGTTGAGAGTTCGCCTGCTGATGCAGGGGACATGGGTTCATGCCCCGGTCCAGGAAGATCCCACATGCCACAGAGTGGCTTGCCCATGAGCCATGGCCACTGAGCCTGTGTGTCCGGAGCCTGTGCCCTGCAACGGGAGAGGCCACAACAGTGAGAGGCCCGCATACTGCAAAAAATAAATAAATAAATAAAATAAATTTTAAAATCTCACTGAAAACTAACTAAAAACTGGCTGAAGGAATCCTGTACAACCAAGGCTGTAAAAAAAATACACATATAATTGGGTAGGAAGGGGAAAAAAAGTGATTAGGTCAGGACCTGTGCCCCTGGGAGGGAACTAAGAGTAAAAGGGAGAATGCATGGGTGGGATACCGACACTGGGGAGTGAGTGGTGAGAACCCCAAATTTGGAGCCCCAGTCGTGGGTTCCTATGCTTGGGACAAAAGGTACCTTGTCTGACTGGAGTACTGGTTAGATCAACAGGAGGGCTGTGGAAGCCTGGACTCCACTCATGAGGAGTGCATGCATGCTGGCTTGCCTCCAAGGCAGGGTGGAGAGATGTTTGCTTTAACAGCTGCCAGGTTTCTTGCAACCACCTACTCACATGCCCTAACCCAAGCCAAGCAAATGCTCTGGCCCCATTCATTCCATGTCACAATGCAGCACTTGATCTGGGGTGGCCATGACCAAGGAGAAGATGGAAACCGTGGGACACAGAGGTGACCCAGTATCGGGGTGGAGCCTGGGTGGGGCAGCAGCTGCCATTGTTGGTGTTTACTCAAGCAGTGCATCAGAAACATCCTAGATCTCTGATGGAGGCTGTTCCACCACCTTCCGCCCGCCCGCCATACACTGAGAGTTCATGAGGACCCCACGTGCTCTGAGGCGTGGCTCCACAACAGGGCAGGAGAAGCAGAGGCTGGGGGCAGTGATTGGCTCAGCTCAGATGTCTGTCTTCAGCTGACATAAGCCAAGAGCCCACAGGGGTCCCACTTGCTTCAGCACTTCCCCTTTCTGGGTCAAGAGCCCCAGTGCAGGCAGAGGGGAAAACACACACTTAAAGGGAACAGAGCCAGTTCAGGTCTGACTCTCAGGGCTTTGGCTCCAGCAACTTGGATCAGACCCTGCCACTGATAGGGCAGTGATGATCACTGAGCAGAGGGGAAGTTTCGCCTTACATCTGGCTCTAGATCTAGCCCTTCCATCTCTAGTCCCACTCCCCACCAAGGTGATAGCTGTCAGCACACACTAAGGAAAGATGTGACTTGCATCCACATCAAATCCAGCTCTCCCACCAAAGGCTTTGGGCATGCATAGTCTATACAGGGACACTCCCACATAACAACACCCCTTCAAGACTGCAATAGGTAACTCTTTCACCTAAATTCATAGAGGCAGAGAAAGTTAAGCGAAATGAAAAGGCAGAGGACCTGCTCTCAATTGAAAGAGCAAAAGAAAACCTCTGAATAAATAAATAATGCAATAGAAATAATTTACAGATAAAGAATTCAAAATATTGGTAATAAAAATGTTAACTGAATTAGGAAAAATAAGAGATGTACACAGTGAAAACTTTAGAGGGGAACACAAAAATATAAAAAAGAAAGAAAGAAAGAGTATACAGAGTGGGAAGGAAGACATAAAACTGTTTTTGTTCACAGGTGATATGATCATCTATGAAGAGAATCTGAAAGAATTGACATAAAAAAATCCCGGGACTAACAAGCAATTATAACAAGGTTGCAGAATATAAAGTTAATATACAAAAGTCAATTGCTTTCCTATATTACAACAATGAATAAGTGGAACTTGAAATTAAAAACACAGTACCATTTACAGTAGCATCCCCCAAAATGAAATACTTAGGTATTCAATATAAATCTAAAAAATATATACAAGATCTGTATGAGGAAAAAACTCATAAAACTCTGATGAACAAAATCAAAGAAGAACCAAGTAAATGGGGAGATATGCCATGTTCGTGGATAGGAAGACTCAATGTTAAGGTATCAGTTCTTCCCAACTTGATCTATAGATACAGTGCTACCCCAATCAAAATCCCAGCCAGTTGTTTTATGAATATGAACCAACTGATTCTAAAGTTTATATGGAGAGGCAAAAGACTGAGAATAATCAATACAATATTGAAGAAAAAGAACAAAGTTGGAGGACTGATGCTACCCAGCTTCAAGGCTTACTATAAAGCTACAGTAATCAAGACAGTACGGTATTGGTGAAAGAATAGACAAATAGATTTAGAGAGCCCAGAAACAGGCCTGCAAAAATATAGTCAAATGATCTTTGACAAAGGAGCAAAGGCAGTACAATGGAAAAAAGATAGTCTGTTTAACAAATGGTGCTGGAACAACTGGATATTCACATGGAAAAAAAAGAAAAGAAAGAAAAGAAAGAAAGAAAGAAAAAAATCTAGACTGAGACCTTACACCCTTCACAAAAATTAACTCCAAATAGATCATAGACCTAAAAGTAAAACACAAAACTATAAAAATCCTAGAAGATAATGCAGGAGAAAACCTACATGACCTTGATTATGAAGATATATTTTTAGAAGAAACACCAAAGGTATGACCCATGAAAGAAATAATTGATAAGCTGGACTCAGTTAAAATTAAAAACTTATATTCTGCAAAAGACAATATCAGGAGAATTAGAAGACAAGCCACAGACTGGGAGAAAATATTTGCAAAAGACACATCTGATAAAGGATTGTTGCCTAAATATTTTTTTTAAAAAAACCTCTTAAAACTCAACAATAAGAAAACAACCAACCTGATTAAAAAATGAACCAATGACCTTAACAGACACCTCACCACAGAAGACATACAGATGGCAAATAAACATATGAAAATCCGCATTATAAGTCATCAAGGAAATGAAAATTAAAACAATGAGCTACCAGTACACACCTATGAAGGTGGTCAAAATCTGGAACACTGACACTAAATACTCATGAGATTTGGAGCAACAGGAACACCCATACATTGCTGGTGGGAATGAGAAATGGTACAGATGCTTTGGAAGACCATTTGGAGGCTTTTTACAAATTATACATACTTTCACCAAATGAACCAGCAATCATGTTCCTCAGTATTTATCCAAAGGAGTTGAAAAGTTATGTCCACAGAAAAAAAAAACTGCTCGTGGATGATTATAGCAGCTTTATTCATAATTGACAAAACTTGGAAGCAACCAAGATGTCCTTCAATAGGTGAATGAATAAGTAAACTATGGTATATCTAGAAAATGGAATATTAACATTAAAAGTAAATGAGCTATCAAGCCATGAAAAGACATGGAGGAATCTTAAAAGTATATTAGTAAGTGGAAGAAGCCAGCTTGAAATGATTATATACAGTATGACTTTAACTATACGACATTCTGGAAAAGGCAAAACTATGGAGACAATGAAAAGATCAGTGGTTGTCAAAGATGAGGGTAGGAGGAGTTATAAATAGGCAGAGCACAGAGGATTTTTAGGGTAGGGAAACTACCCTGTATGATATTATAATGATGCACATATGTCATTATAAGTTTGTTCAAATGCATAGAATGTGCAACACCAAGAGTGAACCCTAATGTTAACTATGGACTTTGGGTGATAATTATGTGTCAATGTAGGCTCATCCTTCATCTAAAAAAATGTACCATTCTGGTGAGTGATGTTGATAATGGGGGAGGCTATGCATTTGTGGGAGTATATGAGAAATCTCTGTACCTCCCTCTCAGTTCTGTTGTAAACCTAAGACTGCTCTAAAAAAATAAAGTGTTTGGGGCTTCCCTGGTGGATTGGTGGTTGAGAATCCGCCTGCCGATGCAGGGGACGCAGGTTCGTGCCCCGGTACGAGAGGGTCCCACGTGCCGTGGAGCGGCTGGGCCCGTGAGCCATGGCTGCTGAGCCTGCGCGTCCGGAGCCTGTGCTCCGCAGCGGGAGGGGCTGCAGCGGTGAGAGGCCCGCGTACCGCAAAAATAAATAAGTAAATAAATAAATAAAGTGCTTGTTAAAAAGGAAGTTATCTTTATATTTAATTTTAAATGATATAATATCTATTATTTGCTTTAATAAATACTAGCAAAAAAATGTGTAGAGGGTTAGCTAAAACAACATTGGCAAAATGTTGACTATTGAAGCTGGGTGATATGTACCCAGATTCATTTTTCTATTATTCTCTTTTCTTTTGTATAAGTCTAGAAATTCTATAATAAGAAGGCTTCTAAACAGGATTTTAAAAAAAGAAAAAAAGAAAGAAAAAGAAAGAATTGGGGATCCAGAAAGGTTAAGTGACTTTTCCATGACTACCCAATCCTGGTCTCTGGGCTTTAATTCCTGTGCTATTTCTTTTTTTCTTTTTTTTTTTTTTTGCGGTACGCGGGCCTCTCACTGTTGTGGCCTCTCCTGTTGCAGAGCACAGACTCCGGACGTGCAGGCTCAGCGGCCATGGCTCACGGGCCCAGCCGCTCTGCGGCATGTGGGATCTTCCCGGACCGGGGCACGAACCCGTGTCTCCTGCATTGGCAGGCGGACTCTCAACCACTGTGCCACCAGGGAAGCCCTGTGCTATTTCTTTTACTCCACACTAAGCAGGCATAGCAGGGCCACAGGCGGCTCTATGTGGTCATAATGGTATTGTCTGAGACACAAGCTATGCCAGTGTCATGCTGGCCCCCTGACCCCAACACACCAAGGCAGGAATACCAAGTTTGTTGGTGGGTTAGGGTATGAGGAATGGGGTGCTGGTGAGCTAGATAACAAGAATGATTTGGGCTACTCAGGACTTCAAAAGAGATTTCTTGCATTAAACAATTTCTGTTTTCAGAAAAATTTTGGAAAATACATAAACGAATCCAGTATAACATGTTTGGGTCTTTCTTACATCTTAGTAGGGCTTTAAAAATGAGGCTGAGTGTATGAAGGGTAAAAGAGAATGTAGACAACTTTTTACCAATCAAGCTGATTCCTGTGCTCTCCTGTTTGTGATAGCCAAGCATTATTCTTAACCTAGGAGCTGTGGACCTTAGATTCTGAAACTTTCATGAAAGGAAGACCTGTCTAGTCCCCAAGGACTGAGGTTGGAAAATCATGTCTGGGCTGAGCTGAGGAATATTCCACTTGTACTCACAAATGACTGGATGGAGTCCCATGCCGCCTTGGTGCTGTTGTCTGAGTAATATTGCTGGATGCTGTCAGTCAGACCCTTAGCCACATAGTCATTCAGCTGGGTGGGGCACATTCCAGCAGAGAAGACATTGTAAAAAGCAAGTGAGTTCAAGGAACAAGGAATTTCTAATGTAGGCTAATAAAATGGTTCCATCTGCTCCTCCCTTCCAAATGGTCTCCTCAGAACTAGGAAGTGAGGGGAGGGAGCTTATATATAGGAATAAATGCTGAGGATGAGATGGCATTGAAGGAAGAAGTACACAGTGGTCTCTTGTCCTTCCAGAACTCTGGTTTTACAAAGGAGGAAAACGGACAATCAAAGCATGAGTTCTCTTAGGCACTGAGACAGATATTCTGTACTTCCAAACACATGGAGAAAAATAAATAGGTAAATAGGAGGAAGATAAACTTGCTTTTTTACCATTCTTCCTATTCATCCTTCAAAACAGCACTCAAATGCAATCTCCTTCATGATTTTTTTTCTCTCCCCAATTGCAATTAATCCTTCTTTCCTTCATCCTTCTACTTTGATTCTAACTCTATTATAGGACTTATTTTGTGCCAATTTTTTCTCTACTGCACACTACCCACTCTTAGCAATACAACAATGAGTTTGATTCTCTATAACTTACCTTCTGTTCATACACGAAGAGCAGGATGGCCAAGGTCACCTCAGCAAGGAGGATAATCAGCAGCAGGACAAAGAACTGGGGCAAAGAAGAGAGATGCTCACAGCATTGATCCTCATTCCTCCCCCACTTCTACTCCACCCTGGGAGCATCCAGGCATGTCTCTGCACATGTGCAGGAGGTTCTGTTCCTGCCTGTTTGAGCCTTCATAAGCTTTGTCTTGTTTTGTGAGGAATATTTGTTCTTTTCCTACAACTATACTCCAAGACTCTAGAGGGCAGATCAGCTGTCTTCTAACTTTGTTCTCTTCTTCCCATTGTGCTTCTACCCATTGTGCCCACTGAGCTCCATGTGCATAATGAATAGGCAATACCATCTGTTGAATCAGTGAAGAAGTTTTAGCATCAGCCTATTGAAACAACTGAGCAAAAACTAGTAAACTGAGCCATGTGTCTTTAGAGTTTGGGGCCTGGTCCTTTCCACAAGCAAAGGGCTATTTTGGGGTGGAGGAAGGTAATGGTAGAAGTTGAGAGGAGCCCTGTACAGATGGGGAGAAAAGGCGCTCTAATCATGATCTTAACTCATATTTATCTCCAACTCTAGCTGCTTATGCCAATCACAATTAACAGAAAACACATTTTCACTTATTCACTTTCCTTCATTTTTTACCCCAACACAAATTTTGACGACTTAAAACCTTTTTCCCAAGTCTATAGTCTTCCATCTTTTGCCACTAGTCTGGGAACTATCTGAGAACAAGGACTTTCTTATTCTATCCCCCTTTTTTTTTTCTTTTTTAATTAATTTATTTTTGGCTGTGTTGGGTCTTCGTTGCTGTGCGCCGGCTTCTCATTGCGGTGGCTTCTATTGTTGCAGAGCATGGGCTCTAGGCACACGGGCTTCAGTAGTTGTGGCTCGCAGTGCTCTACAGTGCAGGCTCAGTAGTTGTGGCACACGGGCTTAGTTGCTCTGCGACATGTGGGATACTCCTGGAGCAGGGCTCGAAGCCATGTCCCCTGCATTGGCAGGTGGGATTCTTAACCACTGTGTCACCAGGGAAGCCCTCTTATTCTATCTCTTGACTCCAGTTTAACAGTTGACCCATAATGGAAAGAAGATTAACCACATGACTTGAGGAAAAAGAAAGGCGATTGGGAACCCATATTTATGGATAGAGTGGCACTGTTATACCGAGCTCTGTTCTGAGCACACCAGAGGAATGAAGAGCTCTTCCTCCATAGATCTCACAGGAAAAACCTAAGTCTAAAGGTACTCCTTAGGATAGGTAACTGACAGGGAGCAAGTGAAAAGCTCTAGCATCTCTCATGTTAGGCCTCAATAGCTGCAGCCTAGGCCTTCACCCGGTTGGGTCACTCAAACTATGGTGTATCTAGTGCAGATATCAGATAGGTAAGCATCCTCTGCCATTTTAGGAGGGTTACAGCACTCAGAATAATCTAGAGACTATATTTTCCATCAGTTAATGACTCTGAGTCAGATCCTGGAAATATATACTAATGTGAGGAGGATTTAAGCAGATGGATGACAGTTGATTTCAACCAGATATAAATAAGAAATGGGGGGAGATAAATTGGGAAATTAGGATTGACATAGAAACACTACTATATATAAAATAGATAACTAATAAGAACCTGCTGTATAGCACAGGGAACTCTACTCAATACTCTGTAATGGCCTACATGGGAAAAGAATCTAAAAACAAAAAAAGAGTGGATATATGTTTATGTATAACAGATTCACTTTGCTGTACACTGGAAACCAACACAACATTGTTAATCAACTATACTCCAATAAAAATTTTAAAAATAAAATAAATGATGAAATCTATAGAAAAAAAGAAGAAATAAAAGTTATGAAGGCAAATTATAATAATAAGGTCATCATTAACAGTGTAAAATGGATGTCAAGGAGGATAGCAATGCCCTCTCTTATCTATCCCTAGGACCGCAGTCAAGAAGAAAATACTACTGGTCTAGACAGAGTGGACTGACCTGAGGTGCCAATTTTATGTTCCTATGATTTCCCTGCACTAATAGGTGAGCTGCCAGAAAATATCTTGCTTGTGGCTTAAGCCAAGGCATCATGTCGCCCCACTTAGGGCACCACATCAACTGTGAGAGTAACTCACCGACATAAGCAGGCACTTATTCTCCTTGATGGATCCCATGCAGCCCAGGAAGGCAACCACCATGATAATGGAACCCACGATGACAAGCACATTGCCCAGCGTGAGAGAGGGGAGGTTATGGAAGAGCACTCCAAAGTTGTTATGGATCAGCAGGTAGATCCCAAAGCCCAAAATGCAACAGCCACAGAGCTGAAAGGAAGAATCACATAACATTCTGAAATAAAATGTGGTCCTTGAATATCTCCTCATACTCACTTACATGAGATTAGAATCACTTTTTCTATTGGTTCTACACAACAAACTCTTTACCCAGATTTCCCCATGCCCTTAGAAAAAAAGTTATCATCTCCTGTGATGTCCCACTCATGCCTCATCTTACCCATATCAGATACCAGGGAAAGCTCATTCCTATGGGTAACACAGTATCTTCATGCTTCAGATTCCCACTCTTGCTTCCAGATCTTCATGATTCAGATCCCTAATCCTTGTTCCCTCAACTACTTATATATGGTCTTCCCTTTGGAAACCACAACCATGTAAAGGGAATATCCTGGTTGAGAAGTTCATCTTTCTTGGCAGAAAACTAGAAAAGCCAAACTTTTAAGAATCTTCTCATAGAAACATGAGTACCAACCTATCCTATGTCTGAAATTCAATTGCTTAATCTGGTATAGTGACACCTCCCCAGAAAAGGTGACTTCCTTTTCAATCAGCTATTTTTTCCAAGGGGTTAGGTTTGGGCATGGGGGGAGCAAGAAGAAAAGAGCCATTCAATACAGGGAATGTAGAGTCTTAGGTTTCTGACCCATAGATGTCAGCAGTGAGCAGTAATAGCCTAAAGCTCCCAGAGAAACAGTATCCCCTACTGCACTGGTATCTTTCAATTTTGCAGGCTTATATTATGGCAGGATGGAAAGAGGGGAGAAAATTATCATCACCTTCTTCTTAGGCTGTGTATACTTCACCTGACCTGGACATGTGTGGATTCCACTCCACACCAGGCTCTTCAGGAGAGGAGAAAGAAGTAGAGTGTAGCTAGGAAGAGGTGAGTTCAACCATGCTCAGAAGAGACAGACTTACCCAAAAGATCAAATTGAAGAAAAACAGGACATACTTCAGCAATTTCAAGCTACTCATGCCCATGCTGAGATATTCTTGTCCTAAAAAGTAGAAGGAAGAAAAGAGGACATAAGTGACCTGGCTCTGCAAAGTGGCACCAGAGATCATAGGACACAAATGTCCAGTGTTCAAGGATCTCCAGCATCACCTTGGGTTTGAGCTGTGAATCTTTTCTGGAAAGTTTCCCCAAACTTCTTGCTCTTTTAGTCTCTGAACTGAAGAACCAATTGGTTCATCTTGGACACCACGTTTCTTTCAATTCAGCAAGCTAAAGATGCTTAACATTGAATTAAGCACTCCAGAAGTAAGCAATAGAGCCATTCTTAGAGGAGGCTGAGCCAGTGACACATACCATGTCAGTGCTCAGGGACTAAAGGAAGCCCTGGGATCAGGGATAGGCTGGTCAATCAGCTGTGGAGAAGGTCAGTGACTTGATCCACCAGTTTCTTATATACCCCGAGATGCATATACACTCTACATTTGGTCTATGAACTTCTCCACATGAAAACGAGGGGAATATATCTATGCCTCAATCATCCTTCTACTGAAGAAACATATATGGTGTTTTCTGTTCTATGTGCTGTGGGAGATATAAACATGATTAAGCAATAGCAATCCTCCAGAAAATGTCAACCTTACAGCAGAGATAACACTGAGCAACAAATATCCAGTGAAGAAACAAAAGGAGATTACAATGAGAGCTTGAAATTTTTAAAAATAGAATTTTGTTTTCCAGTGAGGACATCAGTATCCACAGTCTGGTCCTCAATTCTAGAGATCCAGATACACAGTTTTGAATTTTCTCTCAGAAGTAATGAGTTTCTTATAGTGACTCATATTTTAAAACTGCATATAAGACTGATATACAAAGCAATAAAGTCAATTTATTGTTTCTTCTCCCATTAGAACTATGCTTTTTCTAGTGCATAGATTGCTTTTTATAATCCATCATACCCTTGTTGCAGTGTCAAGATGCCCAGAAATCAGATGGTCTTAAGTGATAGTTCATTCAGGCTATAAATAAGCCTGTTGAGTTACTTATGTTACATAATAGAGTAATCTTCTCTGTTAAAAAGGTCAAATACTTATATCTATCTCATATCATTTTCCTATTTCTTTATTTTGTCCTTCTCTTTTCCCTTCCTTCTTATCTTGACCCTCAGAATAATTCTTAATTGTTAATAATTACTTTAACCAAGTTAAAATAAGGGTAGATTTTAATTTTATTTGGAAATGCTTAGGAGGTAAAAAAAATAAAAGTATAATGATTTATTACATAGGCTTTGAAGTCAAACTTGAAGTTAACTTTCACCTATGCCACTGAACAGGTGTGTGAGATTTGTAAACCTACTTAACATTTCCAGTTACAATTTATCCCTGTGTAAAATGGGGTAATACTTATACATTATAGGGTAGAAGTAAAGGTTAAATCATCTTACTAAAGAGACTGATGTATGACCAGTACTCAATAAATGGAACCCATGTTTATTTTGATGGATTTGAGTATTTCCCAGGCCTCATAGTCAAGGGTTAGCTGCTCAAAAAGACTACACTCATTTGAATGTATTTATTTGAATGTCACCTCCTTCATCAATCCAGCTGAAAATCTTTGTATTTCCATGGCAGTTAGTACTGTTCTTTGGGACTTGACATATTCAAGTCTATTTCATTCTATTTCATTACTTGATATTGCCTGTGCAAAGAGCTATCATAAGGAATCTCAAAAATTTGGAGATAAGGACTGGTAAATTTTACATCTTAAGAGTTAAATTAATTAAAATTCTAGTTAAACAAATAATTTATCCATAGATATATCTTAGTCTTGGAGATACTTGGCCAATGTACAGAGAAAAAAGAACAAAGCTGGGATTATAACCCTCCCAGACTTCACATGTACTATTGCGTTGGCCAAGAAGTTCTTGCGGGCTTTTCTATAAGATTCTATCCATAAGATCAATACAAAGTTACAGTAATCAAAACAGCATGGTATCAGCCCCAAAACAGATACATAGATCAATGGAACTGAATAGAGAGCCCAGAAATAAACCTATGCACCTATGGTCAATTAATCTATGGCAGAAGAGGCAAGAATACACAATGGAGAAAAGACAGTCTCTTCAAAAAGTTGTGCTGGGAAAACTGGACAGCCACATGTAAAACAGAGAGGTTAGAACATTCTCTCACACCATATACAAAAATAAATGCAAAATGGTTTAAATACCTAAATGTAAGACCGGAAACTATAAAACTCCTAGAGGAGAATATAGGCTGAACACTCTCAACATAAATCATAGCAATATTTTCTTGCATCAGTCTCCTAAGGCAAAAGAAATAAAAGCAAAGATAAACAAATGAGACCTAATTAAAGTTAAAAGTTTTTGCACAGCAAAGGAAACCATCAACAAAATAAAAAAAACAACCTATGGGATGGGAGAAAATATTTGCAAGTTATGCAACCAACAAGAGGTTAGTATCCAAAATATATAAACAGCTCATACAACTCAATATCAAAAAACCAGATAATCCAATCAAAAATGGGCAGAAGACTTGAACAGACATTTTTTCCAAAGAAGACATGCAGATAGATGGCTAACAGGCAACCGAAAAGATACTCAGCATCATTAATTATTAGAGAAATGCAAATCAAAACCACAGTGAGGTATCACCTCACATCTGTCAGAATGGTTGTCATCAAAAAGTCTACAAATAACAAGTGTTGGCGAGGATGTGGAGAAAAGGGAATCCTTGTACACTGTTGGTGGGAATGTAAATTGGTGCAACCACTAAGGAAATATGGAGGTTCCTCAAAAAACTAAAAATAGAACTACCATATTATCTAGCAGTTCTACTCATGGTTATATACTGAGAAAAACCAAAAACTCTAATCCAAAAAGATAATTGCACCCTAAAGTTCATAGCAGCACTACTGAAAATAGCCAAGACATGGAAACAACCCAAGTGCCTATCAACAGACAATTGAATAAAGAAGATATTGAATTGAATAAAGAAATATATATATATAATATATATATATATTAGCCATAAAAAGGAATGAAATACTGCCATTTGCAACAATGTGGATGGACCTAGAGAATATTGTGCATAGTTAAATAAGTCAGAGAAAGTCAAATACTATATGATATCGCTTACATGTGGAATCTAAAACATAATACAACTGAATGTATATGCAGAACAGAAACAGATTCATGGATATAGAAAATAAACTTGTGATTACCAAATGGGAGAGGGAAGATGGAGGAACAAATTAAAGGTATGGGATAACAGATACAAATTACTATAGATAAAATACATAGCAGCAAGGATATACTGTATAGCACAGGGAATTATATCCATCATCTTGTAATAACCTATAATGAGTATAATCTGCAAAAATACTGAATCACTATGCTGTACACCTGAAATAACACAATATTATAAACCAACTATACTTAAAGAAAGAAAGAAAATCCATAGTACTTCTGTATATTAGCAACAAATATTCAGAACTCAATTTTATAAAAATACATTTACAATAGCATCAAACTATGAAATATTTAAGGATTAATCTTACAAAAGATGTGAAACACCTACACACTGAAAACTAAAAAACAAACATAAATAAACAAAAAAACATTGCTGAGAGAAATTGAAAAAGATATAAATAAATGGAGAGATATACCATGTACATGGGCTAAGAGACAATGCTGTTAAAATGTCAATTCTTCCCAAATTTATTGATAGATTCACTGTAATTGCAATCAATGTCACAGCAGACTTCTTTGTAGACATTTGAATATTGATTCTAAAATTCACTTGGGAATGCAAAGGTCTTAGAATAGCAAAAAAAAAATTTGATAAAGAACAAAGGTGGAGGACAAGCACTACCTGATTTTGCTACTTTCTATGAAGTTACAACAATAAAGAAGGCACAGTATTGGCATGAAAATAAACAAACAGATTAATGGAACAGAATAGAGAACTAGACATATGTGAACAACTGATTTGCAACAAAGACGAAAAGTTAATAAAACAGAGAAAGGATATTTTTTTCAACATGATACTGGAACAATTGGATATTGCAAATATGCAAAAAAAATTAATTTGGATACATATATCTCAAAAATTAAGTAAAAAATAGGTCATAGACCTAAATATAAAACCTACAACTATAATACTCCAGAAGAAAATATAGGAGAAAATATTTGCAACCTCGTTAGGCAAAGAATTCTCTGATAAGGCACCAAAAGCACAATCCATAAAAGAACTGATAAATTAGACTTCTATAAAATTTTTTAAAACTTCTGCTCTTCAAAAGATACTGTTAAGAGAATGAAAAGACAAGCCACAGATGAGGAGAAAATATTTCCAAATCACATATGAGATAAAGGGCTTCTATCCAGGTTCCAAAAAGAAGTTATGGGAACCTCTGACTTATAGGAAGTAGGTCAGAAGCACAGGTCACAACCTGGCTTGGGACTGGTATCTTAAATAGAAGGAAGTCTTGTGGGACTGAGCCCTTTACTCATGGAATATGATTCTATCTCTGGGTAGACAGTGTCAGAATTGAGTTGAATTCTTGGACACTCTGCTTGTCTCCAAGAATTTCTTGTTAGTGTGGGGAAGCCGCCTCACACACATATGTTGGAATTAGGTCCAGGAAGCTAATTTACAACCTAGAGCTCTAACAACAGGTGAATGGATAAATAAACAGTGGTATAACTATATAATGGTATACTACTCAGGAATAAAAAGGAATGAGCTGTTGGTACACTCTAGAGCATAGATGAATCTCCAAATGATTAAGGTGAGTGAAAGAAGCGAGACAAAACAGGAGTACCTAATGTATGATTACAGTTATATAACAGTTTAGAAAATGAAAACTATAGCAACAGAAAGCAGATGGATGATTGCCTGGGGACTGGGGTAGAGGAGTATGGCGTGGGGTAAATAGAGGGGGAGCAGGGAAGGACAGGAAGAAGAGATCACAAAAGACCATGAATAATATTTTGTGAGTGATGAATATGTTTGTTACTTTGACTGT